AGGAATAGAAAGGGGGCTATTACTACAGATCCTACAGATGGTAGAAGATAAAGGAATACCATGAACACCTTTATAGAAATGAACTCAACCATTATAAAGTAGAAAAACAAACTCTGTGCATATATATGCTACATTTAAATTACACCTCATTTAAAAATATAGAGAAAGGCTTGGTTCAGCATGCACCTTATCACAAATCATCTGGATCTATCCTTAATAAAAGCCCCAAAGAAACTATGATTTACATAAATTATAAACAAATGAAAACAGGTTGTTGTTTGTTTGTTTGCAGAACTTAATTACTCCAAAAGTAGCAACAAATTGTTCTTTAATCTGTGTTTTCTATTCTGTTCACCCATTTTAATTTTCAATCAAGGGCCTGCAGCCATCGGCCATCTGGAAATATTGTTAGAGGAGGGTTAGAGATAATAAATATCAACCTGTGTTTCTATTCAAGCTGAGACTGCAAAGCCAAAAACTGTGAGGCACTTCAGAAAAGTTCAAGTCCATGGGCATTCTTATACAAGAAACAAGAACGTTGACAATGCAGAGCTGATGTCGGGTTATTTGGGGGGTGGGGGTGGAGGTGGGTTTTGTAGGGAAAAAACACACTAAATGCTTCATAAGCCCAAGGGGGATTTTTTGCAGTGGGAGTATCAGTAGGATACTTGTTGAAGTGCTTTTTGACATGCATGTATGTGTTAAGGCTTTCATCAACGAATATTATCAAAATGTCACAGCACAACCCAAATCCCAGAACATAATTTTCCTAAGTGTAGAAAAATTCCCAGATCAACAAAAAAGTCCAGAAGATAGTGTGATTGATTCTCCCCATCGGCTACCCCTACAAACAAGCATGCTTGGTGCATAACATGTGCTCAGAAACATAGTAGTGGCAGTGAATGAATGATGTACCCAAAATGGAATAATTCCTTTAACAATCACCAACTCTGTGCCCATTATTAAGTGTTGTAGGAGTCACAAAAGAAACACAAGACAGTGGCCTGAAAACCCTCAGCTCCTAAGTAAGAACAGTGGCAGACATGTGAAACCACCAAGGAAAATTAAGACCTTTTAATAGCAGTTTCTCTCCTAGGATTTCCAGCCTGTCTCATTTCCCAGGAAGATAACATTGCATCTGGAAATAACTGAGTTCTCAGAGAGGTTCTTATCATCCTTTAAAAGATCTCTCTCCCAATTTTCTGGTTTCTAAGAGAGTGCAAAGAATAGACCTTTAATAATATTTCTGGTGTCCCAGAATTAAAACAGACCTACGATTCCCATGAAACCATCTGTTTTGTTTGTCTAAATGTTGTGGGTGCTTAAAAAACAGGCTGGGAGTGAGGAGGTGGGGCCACGAGCTACGTGATCTCTTAAGAAACTGGTATATCAGGAAGTTGTGATCACTGCTCCCAGTTCATGAGCTCCTATCTCAACAGACACAAAGCATCAAGGATAAGGACATTTTCCAAAACAGCCTTTGCTTGTTCTGGTACAAAAAAGAAAGAAAGAAAGCTCAAGAAAAATGCTTATAAAGGAAAGGAAATAGGCTTAGAGAAAAATACCCCAGTTCCCAGACTTTATTTGGCAGGGAAAAAATATAGTGAAGCCAAAGAACCTTTTCCACACCCCCAATATGCCCCCCTTTTTTTTAACCCTCTTTGTTAAAACTTCAGTCTTAACACAGTCTTCCAGTTTTAGTGTTACCAAAATGTTCCCAGATCTCACTAGTCCATAACCAAAGAATAAGATCATATATACTTTTAGTGCCCAATCTTCTCCTACCTAGTTGTCAGAAATTACCCCCCTCTCTAGTAGGGCCCCCCACTGTTCTGCACGGTTTTGTGGTGCTACATCTGTGTGCTCAGGAACAGAAACAGACCCTGATTTTCCTATCCCAGACTCACCCTCATGTCACTTTGTCACTGCCTCTGCTGCTGAGACCCTCATGGAATTGCCAGGACAAGCTGCCCTCTGCCAAATGACTGCTCATGCCATCCACTCCCCGCCCCGAAGGCCTTGGGGAAGGACATAGCTCTTTTCTTTATCTCTCCTCAGGCTGCATGGGATGTTTCCTCTTTCTCATTACCAAATAACAGAGTTGAAATTTAACTATGCTTTTTGTTGAGCTGTACTGGAGATATATTGGAGATAATGAAATGAGTACAACACAAAGAATTTTTTAACCATTGGGAGGACCCAGATTTGTCCTGATGCCAGTTACTAGGCCAGCTTCTACTTGACCTTCCTCCACATGGCCAAGTAAAGTTCATCCCTTTCCCCAGATTGACCTCTTCCCAGGTGATTGACAATGGAGATGTTCATTCCTTCCATCCACCATTTTGATATTTGTTGAATGTCTATTTGTTTCAGGCACTCCAATGGACCCACAAGCTAGAGTGGGGACCCAAATGCACATGGTCCAGCTCTGATGGGGTTTAAAGTCTAAAATTGGGTGGGGAAAAACACTATACAAATAATTACCTACTTATGTATTATTATTAGTTATAAAATGTTCAAAGTGTCATGAAGTGAAAGTTATGGGATCCCATGAGAACGTCTAATGGAGATCATTTAGATTGGGGAAATCAAGTAAGGCTACTTTGAACAATTGACATTTAAGTTGGAACTGAAATTTGGGTAAGAATTAGCCCTATGGGGCTGGCAGAGTAGCTCAGTGCTTGCCTAACATATGTGAGGCCATCGGTTTGATTCCCATCGTCACAGAGAAAAAAAGTAGTAGCCCTATAAACTGCTTCTTGGGCAGCAGTGATTGCTGATGAGAAGGATCTGTCAGAGAAAGGAGCATGGGAAGACCAAAGGAATTAGGGGCAAAGGGGTACAAGATGAAGGTGGGCAGGGAGGCAGGAAACATCCCATGTAGACATTGCAAGGCCCCATGAAGGATTTGGGAAGAGCTCCCAAATATAATGGACCATTACTGAAGTATTTTGAGTAAGGGAGGGAATGGCATGAGTTGGTGTGTGTTTTAGAAAGACTCCATGTATATTTTAAAGGGGACAAGAGGGCAAGTCCCAGTGATCTAAGCATGAGATGAGGATGCCCCAGACCATGTTGTTGTCAGAAGAGATAGAGAAGCAATCCACGGTCTAGATATGTTTGCAGTAGAACAACGGAATGTGCTGCTGGCGAATGTTGGAGAATAGGAAAGAGAAGAGTCTGCCTAGAGGTTCAAGGAAGCCTTCCAGTTCTGACTGGGGCAGCTGGGAATGTGGTTCAATATCTGAGCACTGATAAGATAACAGACAACAATCAGTACATTTCCCCAAGTCTGAGTGAAGTCATCTTAAATATTCCACCATTGAAGGATCTGCAGCCTAGGGACAGGCCTCAGCTAAGCCCTTTTCTGTCTGTCTTTTAAAATCTCCTCCAGCCAGGTGATCCAGCCTCACCTGCGGCCTCCCATCACATCTGTTTTCAAATGAGGTTGATTTTTCATTGGAATTTCTCCCCAAGCATTATCAGGATGAACTGTAATGTTTCATTCATTCATTCATTCATTCATTCATTCAAGATAGAGTTTTTCACACCAATTGAGAGCAGGACCTCTGGGATTAAATCCCACCTCTGCCACTGGTGAGCTGAGAGGCCTTGGACAAATTTCTTAACCTCTCTCTCTGATGTAGTTTCCTTATCTGGGAAATGGAGGTTACAGTGGTATCTACTTCAAAGAACTGTTCTATGCTTAAGTAGATGAATAAAATTCCAGGTGTTCAGAACAGAGCCTGAAACATCATAAATACCCAGTTGATGTTAGAAAAGACCATTGCTCTTCATATGAGGTTGATTTTAGATGTTATTGAGAGCCGCCTGCTTCTCCAACACTGTTCCAGTCTGGGACACTGCTTCACGCAGTAATTTTAAGCCTTTTTGGGGTCAGACAGATTTGATTTCAAGTCTCTGCTCTCCTCCTGAACCTCTATGAGCCCAGGTTTTCTCACCCACATTGGATACAGAAATCCCCACCTTGAGTGGTTATCACAAGGTGGAGTCAGAACTCTTTGAGCAGTGCTTTGAATATAGCACATGCTCAATAAATGCTAGGTTATTTTCCTACCCAGAAGGAGCTTCCCTTCCTAATTTAAATACTGCATCTCCACCTCTGCCACTAAAGAGCCCTCAGTGGGAGGAAGGCAATTTCAAACCCTTTCGTAGGCTTACAGTTTATGAACAAGGTTATGGTTTTTTTTTTTTCATAAATTACACTCTCTGGCCATTTTGGGCACAATGTGGAGCGATTTAAAAGCCAGGGATATGAATGTGGGCATCTTATACTCCAGAGAGAATGGTCCACAACAGTTCCACTTGGATCCCAAACCACTCATGTTTTCCAGTACCAGTCCCACTCTTTCCCATGCCGTGTCCCACTTCCTCCTCCTGCCCCCACCATCACCTTGAAGGACCAGAGTAAGAAAACACAGGCACCAGCCCACAGAAAACACTCTTGGTCATCCTGGAAAGCATAGATTCCTCGGGTCTTTATTTTCAAAGCTGACTGCATGGTTTCCTTTGGCGCAGCCGGGCATGTGGCAGAGTTTGCTCTGGATGCCTCTCCCTCCTGCCCTTGGCCTTGCCGTGGCCTTCCTCTGGCTGCCTGGTACATGCTTTTTATCTGGTTCACATGAACTACTTGCCCTTGCGTACGTTGTTGGGTCCCCTCTGGAGCAGTTGTGTTTGAAGACTCATTTCCAACACCAAATGAAAACTTTGTCCCTGTTATGGGGAGGGAAAACTTTCATGAGCAAACAGAATTTCCTGCTGAAGGGACCTTTCCCTCAGCCCTTGAAATCTCACTCATCCTATGCTATGGCCAACCTTAAATGGATAATGTAATATAAAGACTTTCCCTTGATGGTTTTAGTGGGACTTTGGGGGCAATACAGCAGTGGCCACAGAAATATGATGACCAGCACATAAGACTTTCAACAGCAAAGTAAGCAGTGTTGTTAGAAGACTAACAGGGTATCTTTGGATTTCAGGGAACAGATCCGTCAAGGCCTAGAAGAACTCCAGAAGGTTCTGCCAGGAGGAGACACTTACATGCATGAAGGATTTGAAAGGGTAATTTTAAAACCATTTTAAACCCCAGGCATAAAGAAATGATGAAATGTCAACATAGGGATGACTGATGAGGTAAAGCACATGTTTTCAGGCGACCGAATAACACCCAATGGCAAGATGGTACAATTTTTCTCCCTGCACTGGTTAATTATATCCAAAACAACTAAGGAAATGAATATCTTTCTTCCTTCGCTGACACTGATGAAGGCCTTGTTAACTAGTGATTGATGTCGCTCATGACTCATGCCACACCCAAGTCCCCTAATTCCTAAAGGGATCTTAGTTGGATGGCAGCAATAGTGACTGAGAGAGAATTTCAGTGTCTTTAAAGGACATTAAAGCCTTTTGTTATCTCAAGCAAATCAGTATTATAGGTGGGATTTTCCTGCTGTCTAGCAATGTACAAGTCTAGACTCTGAGAAGTAAGACATTGACCCATGATTACAATTGTATTGCTTAAGATTTAGAGGAACTTTACATGAATATTACCCATTGATATCTGGGTGAATTACACAAGGAATCAAGACTGGGCCCAGGCCTGCATAGCCAGCCCACAGCCTATCACCCAAAATGGTATTCAGAGTGACAAATAGTGGTTGTAGGTCTAATGGCTTGTTCATGTATTTTTCAGGCCAGTGAGCAGATTTATTATGAAAACAGTCAAGGTAAGATTGTGGTATAAATTACCATTAAGAAATATTTAGGGCTGGGGCTATAGCTCAGTGGTAGAGCACTTGCCTCACAGGTGTGACACCCTGGGTTCAATCCTCAGCACCACATAAAAATAAATAAATAAAGATATATTTTAAAAATTTCTGTGTTTGTTTCTAAAAAAAAAAATGCCTCAGTAATTTTTTGTTTCAAAAGACATGGATGATATTGTTTATAATCCTTAAACACACACTCCATTACCAAAAAAGAATGCATAGAAAATGGCACATTCCAGATCAAATTCTACTGTTCTGGGGGTGCCAATAAGAATTACATAAAAATAATTAAGATCCCATTATGACCACAGTCTTTAATTCCTGTGAATAATTTTGCATGTTGAGTTCATTAAAGTAGTAAATACTTGGATGGATTAGTAAAGTCTTGGATTTTTATGTCAAATCTTGTTACCTTGTCCTTCTCTGAGCTCCAAGCCTCTTCATTAACTGTGATTGAATATATTAAGATCAAGATTTCTAGTTTGGTTTAAACATTTCTTCATTTAGATGAAAAATGCTTAAAATATACTTAGTAGAGTGGCTAGCAATAGAAATACTGATAAAATTTTTTATCATTTGAGCTATTATAACTACATTGTCTTTCAAGGGTAGGCTTTGTTTATCTCAAGCAAATCTCTTTAAAAAGAATCAATATTGTAGTGGGGATTTTTCCTGCTAGGCCTGTAGAAGTATCCACTTCCTGTTTGACTTTAAACTGCAACAAATAGAAGGGACCCAGAATGAACACCAAAACTTGCTGGTATAAATCAACCATGAGCATTGTTTCTAGAAGTCTAAATAACACTGAAAGAATTCTAATAAGTTTTGCCAGCTGCCATACCACTTCCAGTCAGCCTGTGAATCATGATGCCTATTACTTTTTGCCAAACCGTGTTCTCAAGGGATGGCGTATGTGGTCAACTACAGCATGTGAGAGGGACCAGTAAGCCCGGTGGTAGAGGCCTGGGTGACAATCACATGCATTGCTAACAAAAAAGTAATCACCCATGGTTCACTGGAGCTCTTGCTAGTTATTGATTCAGTGACCATTTCACCAAGTCTGACTATTTAGAGAGATGGGACTGAGAAACACGGAAATCAAATTTATGCCTCCTTGAGGCTATTCTGATGAAGTTTTCTCCAACCTGGAATTGCTTCCCAGTCCCAAAAGAAAGGATAGTATTTCTCACAATATTGACTTCCAGGTGGTTGAGATGATAAGAGATCAAATGCCAGGGCTAAGAGGGGGTTTCCCAGGGGCAGGATGACTGAGTTGGTCTGTGTTGTTTTGAGCAGGGTACAGGACGGCAAGCGTCATCATTGCATTGACTGATGGGGAACTCCATGAAGATCTCTTTTTCTATTCAGAGAGGGAGGTAAGTAATGGTCCGGCCTTGTCTAAACACATACCTGGGGGCAGGGAGGTATCTCAGTGGTAGAGCTTGTGCTTACCAGGTGCGAGGCCCTGGGTTCAATCTGCAGCATCCCAATAAAACAAACAAAACTCTTGAAACAGGGCTTGTCTTTGAAATGGGCTGCACTCTTTGAGATGAGCCTCTTTACTCAGGCAAAGTGATAGATGTTCTCTGTAAAACCCCTGAATGAAATAGTTTCAGATGTAAAAACAATCATAATAATTCATTTTTTAAAGTGAAGTTTTATGTCTTTCACATGGTAGATGTTTTTCCCCTTGCAAAAGTTTGCATATTGCTTTGTGCTTAGAGGGATAAAAAAATATCCATTGTGCCTTTATTAAAGGCATCGTATTGCTTTAGCAGTTTTGACATACTATTTGACATACTTTTAAGCAAAAAAATTAGTACCATTTGTTCCTCCATTTTTCCTCATATTTTTTACTAAAACAGGAGGAAGAGAGAGAATTGCTCAAAATATGTAAAAGCCAATCTTGTCCACATGTGCTAACCTTTAAGATTGTCACTCCAAGAGCCAAAGTTAAACAATAATTGGTGACAGATTTCATTGTATTCTCTCCTTCTGTATATCTTCTTTGCCTTGATTATCTCCTCAAAATACTCTTCAAAGCAAGTGAAGGAATTCTCTAAATGAAGCTTCCATTAAACTTAAAAAAAAAAAAAGGTTTACTCAGGAATTATAAAGTTGTATTTACACTTAGGAAATGCCTTTCATCCATGTTTTGGACTTGAACTCTATGTATAGGCTAAGGAAACATGTTAGCTGTGGGAATGTACTGAATGAAGCCTCATTAATGTCACAGATTCACTCAGGCCAAGGTAGAAAGAAACACAGGAAAGGATAAGGTAGTGGGGAAGAGAACTGCTGGGTCTGGGAAAGGATTTTGTCATAGTATTACACTTGCCTCAAGCTCTTGACTACGATTTAGTTTAATTTTAGCTCCCTCTGCAAGTATGAAGTCTGTACTCGTTCACTCATTCAGAGCTTGGCATGTGTTGAGCTCTTGTCTAGACGCGAGAGACACTGGTAAGCAAGATGCTGTTGCTGCCCTCAGGGGTCTCACCGTAAAATAGAGTTTGGCTTCATTATCTCCCTCCTCCCACTGGAACAGAGGATGGGTCAGCATGGGGAAAGACACAAGTTCATGTGACAGACACCCCTGAGTATTGGGGAAATGATACATTTCTATATTCTAAGGTCAAAACTATGTGATGGGAATGCAGAAATAATAGCCAAATAAAGTAAAAACCCTCATAAGGGAAGAGCTGAAAATAAAATAAATAATGAGTGTCAGTGGCTTAAAATAGGGGTTAGTAGAAAGGCATTTTAGGTATGGCACAAACAGACTTGGAAAAATATTTGGAATGCCAATGCCAATAGAAGAAAGCTTTACGAAAAAGATAAAGCTCAAGAAGATATAAAGAAATTAAGCTTTCCCATTCTTGATAATTCTATAGAAAGCCCAGCTAAAGGAGAGCAGTCAGAGTTGTTACAGATAAGGCGGGTGCTAGACTAAGTCTAAACATTTATTTTATCCTGAAAGACACGGGGAATGTTTCTAACGTGTTTCTGTTACTTCTAGAATTCAGTGTTAGACACAAGTAGGTTGGAGAATTGGGGGAGGGAGGGAGGATAACACAATTCAAATCAACAAGCACATATTGAGCACTTACTATATGCTCACTATTGATTACTCACTGAGTACCTACTGTATAAGCCAAGGATTTTCAATTTTTGTTTTCATTCTGAAACATGGGAGAACCTGGAAATCAAATATCAGAGCCTTTAATAAACCAAATATTAAAATCAAGCCTAAACCCAAATGTTATTCATTATGTTGCCCTTTCTTCTTGTTAAAAAATATTTATATTTTTTTGTAATTGGACACAATACCTTTATTTTATTTATTTTTATGTAGTGCTGAGGATCGAACCCAGGGCCTCGCACATGCTAGGCAAGTGCTCTACTGCTGAGCCACAACCCCAGCCTTTATGTTGCCCTTTCAATGATTAATTATTGAGAGCACAACATAATGAATTGGGTTCACTTATTCAAATATGGACCTACCATTAAACTGATTATTTTTTAGAAATGAAAAAAGCCTTATTCATAGGGAATCCTGACCTATGCAAGAATCTATATTGTTCTAGGCCTTCTGGAACAAGCTCTGCTTGTATTATCTCATTTAACCCCAAACCACTTTACAAAGTAAAGTCAACCATCAAACTCAGATATATCTGGTTCCAAAGGTCTCATTCTCTTATGATATTATGCTGCCATTACAAAGAAAAATGTGTCCAAAAAAATCTGTTAAAGAATGGAAAGATGCTCTTTCCCCAGAATATTTAATATGACTCATCTTAGCCTGCAGTTTTCCTTTCTTCCTCTTGCCTTTCAAACCCCTTCATCAAGACTCCACTTCAGAAGATCTTTCTCAATACCTTTTGCTGGAGTTATCACTCCCCCTACTTGCATTAGGTTAGAATGTGATGTTCCCTGGAGTGGGAGCTCTTGGGGACAGAGATCGTTTCTCCAGTGCAATGCCTGGCATAGGTGCTCAATAAATACCTAATTGTTGAATCTAGTCTGACAAATCCAAGAGGAATATTCTTGCCACTGCTTCCCTTTCTAATGTCTTTTGTTTCCCTGTCCCAGGCTAACAGATCCCGAGATCTGGGTGCAATCGTTTACTGTGTTGGTGTCAAAGATTTCAATGAAACACAGGTACGTTCATGAATTTCCTCAGATGTGGGAACATACTGAACTTGTGACTCATAGAGAACATATATTCAGTATAGAGGGTGCATTGGCAAGAAAGAAATGCCTTAGATAGGTTATTTTTCCACAAATGCTAAGCAGGAAAGAATTATTGGATGTGTAAAGAATGTGAAATCACTTTTTGAAACACTTGGGGTCTTCAACATGAACCATTTAAGCAGCATCTTTCTTGGTTGGCTTTCTTGGTGAACATTAAATTGCCAAGGTGTTAAAACAGACCTGAATTAACTTGAAAACCTTTTTCAGAATAATTAAAACGACAACAATTTTTTTTGCTATAAAAAATACAATGCATGGTCAATACAAAAATATAGAAATAATTGGACCAGTGGGCCAAAAGATGCACAAGTACATTTCATTAAATCATGAAAACTTGCTAATGACTGAAATAAGTGCTCCTCAACATTGTTCCTGATTTCTTTTTGTTATAATGGCATAAGTAAATGCTTATATTATTAATAAAATAAAACAGAATTACAAAGAAGATAATAGTAAATGCTACTTTTAGAATAAATTTGTATGCATTTGCACTGAGAAGGTATGAACAACTATATATGTATGTTTATATAATTGTTGATAAAGATAGATATAGATAGAAGGATTATGAGTAACTTTTATTTTCTTTTTATGTTAACTCTCTTAGTTTTTCCTAAGTTTTCACAATGAGTATGTGTTATTTTTGCAATTGGTAAAAACAGTAAGAGCTATTTTTAAAACCATGCCTGCCAGCACTGAATCTGACTGGGGCCCTCCCCAAACTATACAAAGATGGAGGTTGGGATAAAGCTCTCAGATCAACTTCTCCTTGCCCTCTGTCTTCTGATAAAGCAGGAGCAGTTAAAGTTTTTGTTATTAAAAAATACAATGGTCCATTCCTTTGTCAACAGTTTCAGTGAAATTCAGGGGTCCACATTCATTGACCTAACCCAACACCAAAGCCTGAATCTATTTTTAAAGTTGCTCTGAAAGGAAACTTGAGTCTGCTTGATTCAAATAAAGTTGCCAACAGGAATTTGGGTGAATGGGAGAAAAATGAGCCAATGGCATATCCCCAAATCCATAAATATATCAACCCAGGCCAAATGTTCATCCATCTGGACAATCTTACCTCTGCTCCCAAGGAGAAAAGTATTAAAACAAATGTAAAGGCTGGAGCTGCCCCTCAGTCTTGCTCCAGAGGGGCTCCTGGTAAGCTCATTACTGCTGAAGGCTCTTCAGAGGTGCCCCGGAGCCCACCGAGGGCCTCACATTCCTCAAGGTTCTAGAAATAGGTAGGGCCCCTCGACCCAGTAGCTTTCCTAAATTCTCCACATCCTCTCCTGACATGGCTCCATGTGATTCGTGTGTTTGCTGTGTTCTCAGCTGGCCCGGATTGCGGACAGTAAGGATCATGTGTTTCCAGTGAATGATGGCTTCCAGGCGCTGCAAGGCATCATACACTCCGTGAGTAGAGGTCTTCCTCTGAGGTGGACGTGCGTGCACATTCTGTCTCCAGTCTGCAACAAATACCCCTGTCCCCTCTTTCTGAGGCTGGTGTTTTTCTGCTAGAGAGAACATTCCCCCATATTATCTTTGGATCTACTATGTCCCAGATCTTCCTTTGGCCTTTTGTGCATGTTTCTTTCCATTCTCCTGTGCTGGTCTTTACACCCTCAGCTGGAAGGCCAGTGTGTATGCTGCAACTATAATGATGTTCAGAGGTGCTACAGCCTCTACCTTTAGGTTGTGACCAGACAAGTATGCTGCAGTCATCAGGGAAAACTCACCAGGCTCCCAATTAGGACTCCAGGATGCAAATTCAGAGCTCAGAGGATCACTGTCCTCATAAGATATCTTAAGTGGGTCTTGATCTAGGGGTCATTAGCTGGGGCCTGAAGATCTGTCCCCCACCCCCAGCAACCTCGGAAGCCTCCAGTGTTGCTTTGCCTCCAAGGGTTGCTAGGAACTTGAGCAGAGTGGACCGCAGAGCAAGAAGAAAGAATTTGGGAGCTGGTCAGTCCAGAGTCTCAGTGCTGACCCAGGCACTCACCACTTGTAGATCCTTGGATACTTGTTTTCTTATTTGTAAAAAAGGGGCTGATGTTTAAACTGACATTATAGTCTTGCTGGAGGATTTTAATGTTATTGGTGACATACCTAATATTTCTCCATGCACATAATAGGTACTCAAGGCACAGGAATAATTTTTTTCTCCCATTTCCTATCATTATATGATCCTCTAAGCTTTCTTGAATGTGCATAAAGATCACATGAGAATTAATATCAATTCCTAGGCCCTATTCCCAGAAGATTCTATTGCTGTCAGTGGTGGTTTATCCAAGGAATCTGCATATTTTAAGTCTCATTTTTAAAGAATAAATGCACAGGGTATACTTTTAGAACATTGATATATGTGACCATAAGTTTTCAGAACTGTGAAAAATAATCCCATTTTAGGTTGGAAATTTTTATCTTAACTGTGTACAAATGATGGTTTTCCTATTCAAAATGTGGTAGTTGGCAAGGAACAAAAACCCAAACTACCTTAGCCAGAAAGTGGAAATTATTGAAAGCATAGAAAAGAATCAGGTCTAATATGGGTCCAGTTATGCGTTTTGCTCCAAATAATTTATAGGGTTAGCACACTTGGTTATATAAGTACCAAGAACTACAATACATATAAAAGAACAACCCAACAATACAAAATATGATTAACAGCAGGACTTGGGGCTAACCACAAATCCTCGAGAAGCTCAGAGGTGGATTTTTCTGGTGGGAGTCTTCATGAGAGAGTAGGGCAGACTTAGCTCACTGAGAGCTCAGTGGGGTGTTGGTGGGTGGCACCAGAGGGGAGATGACATGACCTCTGCCTCTTTCCCAGAGGCTGGAAAAGAGCAGGCATCTTCAGGAGGCAATAATGATAATACCTGACTGGCTAGCAGTAATATTTCAGGAATAATGGAACCTGGACATTGATTGGATTGGAACAGATTTGCAAAAGTCTTGAAAGGGTTTTTACTCTAACCTTTAAATTTTAGTTTTCTTTCCTCTTTATATGTAATAGTTGTACTTATTTATGGGGTACAGTGTGGTATTTCAATACGCATATATAACATGCTTTGATCAAATCAGCATAATTAGCATTTCTATCTCCATATCATTCCTTTGTGTCTGGAGCCTTTGAGTGCCTCTCTTCTAGTCCTTCATAAAGTAATGGAACATTTTTAACATGCAACAAACGATATTTTAGGAGAAGAATAATGGCAGTGTCTACATACATACATAGGAAGAAGGTTGGCGACACCAGATGCACGATCAGGTAGTGACGACAGTAGACCTACCTTCAGATGACAGGGGTACATCTTTTTATACATTTTTTTTTAATTTCTAAGATTTCTTATGAGCCATGTGCTTAACATTCAAGAGTTTGTTCCTACAAAAAAATTATATTCTTTTTATCTGCATAAATCCTTGTCCTTGAATATTTTATCTTAACAGCTCTCTCATATTCAACATGAGCCCCGGATGTTTGTAAAACTCCCCTCATTCCCAAACAGAAATAACTCCAAGGATGTGTTAGAAGTTGAGCAAAACAGTGCCCCAAAAAGGGAAGAAAAAATAATTTGAGACTTCAGTCTCCAAACGTTTAGCTGAATGATAACATTCTTGCAAGCGTTTATCTGGGAGTTAGACTAGTGGTTTTGATCCTCCCAGTAGTTGAAACCCATGTTTATGGCAGTTGTTAATTGGTTTGCTTGGACAGAGAAACAGGGACAAGGCATAGCAGGGCTCATCTTTCTCAAATCAGACAGAAATAATGATGGCCTAAAAGCCAGCTAACTATTTTTAAGAAGTAGGTTCATTTCCTCTTCTGGATACGGAAAAGAAAACCCTCATTTTTTGCCCCATCTGAAGCATCTATTCCAGCTTGTTCTCATGGAAGTTGTTTTTCGACTAGTAATTTTCTTATAATCAAATAGAACTGGGCTTAATTACTCAAAATAAGGTTGCAGAGCAGCTTCTAATAAGCTCAAATGGTTTACAAAGGTTTTTTTTTTTGCCCATAGAGATTGTATTTTCAAACCTCAAATGAAGATGTAGGGGTTAATATTCATTCATCCATCGAAGATGCATTGAAAACCTTTCTGACCATTCAGTTACAACTAACTCAGATAGTGGCTGTGTCCTGTGGAGCTTATGATCTAATGAGAGAGACACATAAATACAACTGTGTGTGTGTGTGTATAAAATTATAATACATATAAAGATATATAATTAAAACTAATAATGGTTAAAAGAAATAGTATTTTGAGAGTAGGAGTAAGGGGTTGACAGAGAACCCAAGCTCATTTGTAGGGATAACCTGAAGGATGAAATGAAGCCATCCATGAGAGGAGCATAGCTACAATGTTGGTGGCAGAGCGCGGTCCTAAGATGGTGCAAAAGAGAGTGAAAGAGGAGTATCGAAGATGGAGAATGACCGAAGATGAAAAGCACACAACTAAAGGCTGTGGAACTGACCTGAAGAACAGCAGGAACTTACAGCAAGATACGCAGTCTGATGACAGAGCAATCATGGCTGCAGTCGAGACTCAGGAGACTGTGGCATCTTATCCACGTTTCCTGTGGATGGTGAGTACCCAGGCACTCAGAATCCATGGACACCAGGACTGTGCCCATGGGAAGAAACAGCACCGACTTCCTGAGCATCTCTCTCCACTGGCTCCTCTGCTAGTATCTCTCCAGCCACTCCCAGGAGAAGGATTTCTATCCCCAGTGTACAGGTGAGGAGACTGAGCCTCAGAAAGTTTGGATAAACCTCCATGTCTGCCCACACATAGTGGTTGAGTGGGGAATTTAAACCCAGGTCTGGCTCCACAGTTCCTGCCCTCTCTGTGATGCTCAGCTGTGCATGTCTAAGGAAATGGGAAGTCACCGCTGGATCACCAGGAGCTGATTATCCAGGGATAGTCATCCAGGTGGATGAACTCAAGTCTCCTGATGCCTTAAATCTGGTGCCTTCTTGGTGTTTTCACAATTTCTCAATCTTCTCTCCTCTAAGGCGAAAGTACTTAGACATCAGATTTATAGAATGGGTTATTTTTCAAAGTGCTATTGCTTGGGCTGGGGTTGTAGCTCAGTGGTAAAGCACTTGCCTAGCATGTGTGAGGCACTGGGTTCAATTCTCAGCACTACATATAAACAAACATAAATAAATAAAGTCCGTGGACAGCTTAGAAAATATTTTTATAAAAGAATTGACCCTTTATCCCACTTAATATTATTCCATTTATAAAACCCACCAATGCCCTGAAGTAAATATCTGTATCCCCATTTAACAGGTGAAGAAACTACAGCTAGAAAGCCCACCCAAGAGCACACAGCTCTAAAGGGGAAAGCAGGGTGGGAACCCAGTTCCGTGACTCCAGAGCCCATGCTTTCTCCTGCCTCTGTTTCCTTACAAAGGTAAAAATAATAATAATAACAAAACCCACCAGCTAGTGAGTTTTTATCATATACCAGGCACTGTGAAAATCATTTTACACAATCATCTCATCAGATTCTCACAAGCACCATTTGCTCTTGATATAAAGTAGATACCTTAAGTTCAGAGAGGAGACCAGAATCCCTGCAGCCTGGTCTGGGTGCATAGTGGGTGGGTAGGGAGCCTTTGCCTTTTACTGCTGATGGAAAGCACTTCCAAAAATCTCAACTACTGTTCACCGGATGAAGTTTCCATGATCATGAGAAGGTGACAATTTGACAATTAGCCTCAGACTTTGGCAGACATTTAGGCCAGGCATTTCTCTTAAGATATTATTTCTATTCAGCAAATGAAAATGTCCCAATATAATAAAAATTCTCATATCTGGAAAAAGCTACAGAGATCACAGAGGGGCATGTTCAGACCAAAAGAAACACCTTTCTTTCCACATTTGCATAGGACTCTCTGCCTCTGAGGACATGAGAGTATTTTTAGTAGTTTTTGCAGAATACACTGATAAAACTTTAAGGAAAAAATGTGGATGTTTGCAAGTTCATAGCCCTATAAGCCAATAAAGCTGTAAAGGAAGAAGCTATTCCTTTGCCTTCCTTTTGTGGCTTTTTTTGGGGAATTTCCACAGACCATAACTGGTGAATTTAGCACCAACTCTTATATGAAAATATGAAGCAAAGATTCCAGTGTCTTTGTCTCCTTTTTAAAGTGCTGTGGGCAGTGAAACAGGAATCTGCATGAAAGCTGAGTTCAGATAACACTGAAATGGGTTGGCAGCTTTGAATCCCAACCCTTGACCCAATTACCATGACGCCTTCTCCTCCCAGCTGTCCCCACTTTGTGTGCACTTGAGGGCAGTGTCTGGAACCAGGAACACTGTCTACGAGAAAGAGAACCCAGTTGCTGGCACCAAGCACCTCCACCTAGGAGCACTTTCCTGCCCTATTTAATCCTGGTTTGGCTTCCT